ATCGAATCTACGCCACAAGAGGATTTTAAACTTGCGTGCGCTTGTGTGTGTTACAATACACGCAAAGCTCGCATTGAGTTGTCTCACGAGACATAAACACGCGCTGTCGGGGGTAATGACATCGTTGAATTTCATGTGAGATACATGTCGTGCGCTGGTGTGTGTTAGCACACATGCAAAGCATAATCAATGACGTCACACGGCGTGAAGCAAACGCGTCGTGCGCTGCGTTGTGTGCGTTGTGTGCGTTGTGTGTTGGTGTGTGTGACAATACAAAGAAAGCTTTACATCAGCGCGCCGTGGCCACTGGTGGAACCGACTGTTTCTTTGACGAAAGCTAAACTAACCGCTTACAAAATGGCGCAATATGTCACGAATTTATCATGCATCAAGTTATATTTTCTTTAGTATAATAATTACATTCGTTTAGTTAAGCAACTTGTTTATGATAATTGTAGAAAAGTGTAGAAAAATGACACTGTAAGTATATCATATATTATTTATATAGATATGTAATTACTTCACGATTTTGAATTCCATTTAGTGCATTATATCCTGGGATGAAGAAACGTTATTTTATGTCGATTTCTTTAGATGACAAAGGAGGTAACCAAATAGCATATCTTACAAAATCTGAGGACAATAATAAGGATCGTTTATCAAGGTTAAAATAATTATTTTACTAAATTAAGACATTAACATATCCATGTGTTCGACATAACCTCACTTCTTAAATCTCTTAAATTAGTCGGTTGAGAAGCGGATCGAGAATGATTGTTTGAATATGTAAGTCACTACAAATATAATAGCTATACAAATATATATAAACAGCAAACACGTATGCCATGTTCATATTTATTTCAGAAGTCGTACAAAATTGGAATGAAACGATGAACAATATACAGATCTTTAGACAGGCTCAAATAATGTATGTTTAGGAGCAACTTGAAGATAATGGAGATTTATCTTCTTAATATGTAAGTTGATTCATATATAGTTGCTGTATATATATTATTTGGTAACAAATACATTATATTTATAATTGTTTTAGAAAACCTCTAAAATTGGGAACAGTATGTCATATATGCATGAACTTGATTGATGTATTGATGTATAATGAACTGAAGATATAATGAATTCAATCAGGTTAAAAAAAATGTATGTGCAAAAGCGACTCGAAGACGATTTAGATTTGTCTCCTGAATATGTAAGTTGCTACACATATGGAGTGGTATATATATTATTAGATTCAATAAAACACATTATGTTTCAAATTGTTTTAGAAAACTTCCAAGAAGTACATCATATATGAATATCCTGTATCCTCGCATTTGATGTAATGAACTGGCGATAGAATGAAATCAGTCAGTGTTAAAAATGTATGTGTAAAAGCGACTTTAAGATGATGGAGATTTGTACACTGAACATGTAGGTAGCTACACATATGGTAGCTGTATATATATATTATATTATATACAGTAAATCACATTATGTTTGAATTTGTTTTAGAAAACTTCCAAAATTTGGGGCAGTATGTCATATGTGCATAATCTGTATCCTGGCATTTGATGCAATGAACTGGCGATAGAATGAAATAATGAAAAATAGGCAGGCTGTTTGATGTATAAGGAAGTGGCGATAGAATACTTATGCAACACTTCACACTTCACGCCCCAAAAATAGAATTACGTTCATTAGATATACAACAATTTTCATTAAATATACTGTTATTAATATGTTAAGATTGAATAATTTGTAAAAAGTTTTCTAGTATAGTTCATGTTAAAATTTTATAATTTCAAAACTACAATTCTAATTTGTAATATTTAAATATTGTAAAATTTCTTATTATTCACGTAAATAAATGCTTATTCGTACAGAAAAGAATATTAATTGCATTGCGTCATCACTTTCAGGTGCTATTACGTCATGAGTCGCCATTTTGTATGACGTCATGACCGAATCGTTTTCATTCGCCAATGACGTCATGACTGGGGTGAACGCCTTACGTCAGACGGTCTTATCATAATAAACAAACATATGTGGGTCAACGTCGATTTTCATGTATCACGAACGCCACGTGCGCCAGAGACCGAACCTCGATAGTTGTTCGATAGTTACATAAATTTGCGGCCGTATCCATTAAATATCGAGGACAATGAATATGGGAACCGCATGTCACACGACCTAAATAAAATATTGCCACGATGTTGTGGCCATATCGCATGTTTACTGGGTATATATATATATATATATATATAATATATATATATTATAATATTTTTGTGATTTATTATATTTCGATGTTATGTCACATCACATTTCAAATAAAAAAAGTAAATGATTATTAATAAGGAAATGTATAAATGGTATATATATATATATATATATATATATATATATATATATATATATATATTAGATACATATTCATAAATATTTAGTGACAGGTGCCACGGGAATGAAATCATTACCCAGTTTGATGAAGTAACAGAGTCAGATTTTGCATTTCCAGAAGATTTTCAATTTGGTTGTGCTACTGCTGCGTTTCAAGTTGAAGGAGCATGGAATGAAAGTGGTTAGTTAAATCTATTGAACAGTAAAGACTTGTATGATATTCGATACATTTTTAATATAAGCTCACTTTTGCTTATTAGGAAAGGGAGAAAATATCTGGGATAGACTGATACATTCCAAGCCAGATTTAGTAACCGATCTTACAAACGCTGATGTCGCTTGTGATTCTTATCACAAATTTAAAGAAGATGTGGCTGCACTCAAAACTATTGGTGTAATGAAAAATAATTATTACTATTTTTTTCAAATACTAAATTCATTTAACAAATACTTTTGAGCAGGTCAATTTTTATCGTTTTTCCATATCGTGGTCACGAGTGCTTCCCACTGGTGACGCATCCGTAATTAACGAGGAAGGAATCCAATATTATTCTGATTTAATAGACGAATTACTAAGAAACGGTATTGAACCGATGGTGACTCTATTCCACTGGGATGTTCCACAGCCTTTACAAGAATTTGGAGGCTTTATAAATCCGCTCATAGCCACGTACTATACAGACTATGCGCGTTTGATGTTTCAACGTTTGGGCGATCGAGTAAGAATTTATATATATATATATATATATATATATATATAATGGGTCCTAGGACTTAAAAATATAGATCTAAAATATGATTCATATTGAAAATAGTCCATTTCGGGCACTGCATTGTGATATGGCAATGGCAAACCTCTCACACTATTCTACAATTATTATTTATTATATGTTGAATTACAATGATTGGGCGCTACATCAATAAACTTTTTGTCAAACTCAAAAGGCTTATATATATATAGATTTTATATTAACATATATAAAGTTTGCATAAGACTTATATTAAATCAATTATATATTATGCTGAAGGAAGGAATAAAATGTAGATAATTATATAAGTATATATAAAGTAAAGTTGTATGGTAAATCACTATTAACATGTGAAACATCTTGAGTAATTTCATTTTACTAGTACTTGGCCTTTAATAGGTAAAGACATGGATAACTTTCAACGAACCGACTGAACAATGTTTAAATGGTTACGTAAACATGGGCGCGCCTCCCATGATAGAAGGTTACGGAGTAGGCGAATACTTGTGTGCGCATCATGTTCTTATATCTCACGCGAACGCTTATAGGGTATATGAGATTGAATTTAAAGCAAAACAGAAAGGAAGAGTTGGTATAACTCTTGTGCAGAACTACTTTTACCCGAAAACGAATACAAGCGAAGACATTGAAGCTGCAGAACGAGCAATGCAATTTATGGTAAAAAATTGTCTTGTATCATACATTAAAAATAATTGATAATGAATGCCTTTATTACTATACCTAGATCGGATGGTATGCACATCCCATTTTTTCAAAGAGAGGAAATTATCCTAAGGTAATGATCGACAATATTCAAAAAGCTAGTGATGAGCAACATAGAATTCGATCTCGCCTGCCAGTAATGGATGAAGCAATGATTGATCATATTAAAGGTAAGTTACCATTTTTAATTGAAAATATTAATAACCCTGAATAATGGACATTTTTTTCCTAGGCACTGCTGATTTTCTTGGATTAAACCATTATACATCTCGCCTAGCATCCAATGCAATTTCAGGAAAGCCGAACACCTGGTATACTGATCAGAAAGTAAAATTAGAATCGGACCCCTCATGGCCCAGTGCAGCATCATCTTGGTTAAAAGTTGTTCCAGAAGGATTTCGAAAACTTTTAAAATGGGTTCAAAATGAATACCCTGGAATTGAAATAATAGTTACCGAAAACGGATACTCAGATCATGGTCAATTGGATGATCATGATCGAGTTCATTACATTTGTGTCAGTAGACTCATTTTATGATTTAATTTATTGATTACATACTTGAAGTAACTAAAAAATTAAAGTAATATTTTCCATTCCAATTCATTATTAATTTCTGTTTAATCTTCATTCCAGAGTTACTTGAATGAAATGCTCAAAGCCATAATTATTGATAACTGCAATGTTAAAGGCTATGCTCTATGGAGCATTATAGACAATTTTGAATGGCTTCGTGGATTCACGTAAGAACTCTTAAATTTGTTTGGAACATCTTAGTATATGTATAAGATATTTTCATAAATATTCATTTCTAGAGAGCGTTTTGGTATATATTACGTAAACATCACGGATCCAGAAAGAACCAGAATACCAAAAGAATCATCAAGAACATATAACAAAATAATAAGTACACGAAAAATACCAAAGGATTGTTTGATAGATCATATCTATTCATTTAACTGACATATCAATTGTACTATGGATCAATAAAATCTAATTTAAAAATAAGAAAAGTGAATTTATATTGAAAGTGAAATATGATTGAAATATAACTAAAGAATAAACATTAGTAGAAATCAATAATTATATTACAACATTAATTGCTAATGAATTTAATTACATTTTCTTAAAAAAATAAAATCATTTATACTAAGCTTATGCCATTTTATTCACCACAGCAAGGTGCAGGGAATTTAATTGATTTGTCCATTTATCCAAGGCATTATATCTAAAATCAAGATGTGTGATAATACCTTATATTATAAAAAATATAATGTTTAAAATAATGTGAAAATACCTCGCTGCACATCTAGATTCTTTATCAAGTTCTAGTACTTGATTTACTTGATCTATTCTGCCTTGAATTGTACTGTCCAAAATGCAAGACACTAATAAACTTTCAACTTCTTCAGTATCAATATTCAGTTCTTTTGAGATAAATGGTATGTGTATGCGAGTGTAAGGTTTAATCAACTTAATTAATACTTGAGTGCGAATATTTCGCAACAAATCTACAAGAAAGAAAAAAATTATTAATAGAATTTGGAAACTTTAGTTTGGTACTCAACTATTTTCACATACTCAAATATACAATGTGAGATGCGAAAGATAAATATTTCAATAAAAATACCTTCAATATGCTCTCTAATGAATGGATCATCCATTATATTGTTTCTATTATGCTTTAAAATTGCTTCAAATTCATTAATATCATTATTTTGATAGGAAACAACTAGATTTGTCATAGCAAGAATTTCAGGATCATTTTTATATGGTTTTGCTTCTTGTGAATCAAATGGATTAATTCCTGATTTCATTAACCTTAAATCAAATATTTTTGAAAATATTATCAAAGCTTAAATGAAGATAATATACGAATACAAACATATTAGCCAAAACAAGATATTTCAAACAAGTAGTTCTTCTTGGTGATCCACTTTCATCATAGTTCTTAAATGCTTCAAAAAAATCCGTATGAGCTTTCTCAAATTCTCCTTCTCGTAAATGCATTTTGCCTCCACACTCTAATAATCAAGTTTCATATATTTATTGATAATGATTCAAAAAGTCAAATAATACAGTACAGCAATTAATTCATTCAGATACAGGCTTTGACAATATACACTTGGCTAACTTACTTAGTTACTTAGAAATTTTAATTTTTAATCAATAACAAATATACTTGCCTCTTATAACACCCATAATTAATGGATGAGGAATTGCAGACTTAATATGCAATGACTGCTCATAAAGAGTCTTCAACTTTTTATTATTTTTTTGAGCTGTATACATTTGAATTTCCAAAGCATATATTTCAAGAAGCTGAGTACCTTTCTTCAAATCATCTTCACCATCGTCAGTCTGAAATTAGAAGTTTTTGTTTTATGAAATCAAATAAACTACAAATTTATTATTTTACAGTACCTGGCAAGAAAGATGTAATTGTTTAAGAATTTTCGCTAATTTTGTGAAATCAGATCTATCAAAATACAGTTTTCCCAATTTTGTATTTGTCTTAAACCATAGTCTGTCATTCTTGGCATCTTTTAAAGCATCTAATGTTGTTTCATAAAAGTCTTGTAATAGCTCCATCTTACAAAATTTATGAATGAGTTAATAACATAAAATTCTAATAATAATACCTATATATATATATATATATATATATATATATATATATATTTTCATATGTGTGTTCATGTGTGTGTTTTCAAACATGTATATACAAATTACTTTTCCAATGAAAATAGAGAAGCTTAAAATATACATACGCACATTTCTAGATGTGGAAATGTAATCCAATATCGAATTAATAGATTTTTCTGAATGATTTCTAGTCACTGCACTTTTAATATATGTGAGTAACTGTTTGTATCTTATCATCATTTCATTATAGTTGTTCTGAAACAGTATTTATAAGTTATATAGTAAATGTACATATATATATATATATATAAAATATATTTATAGCATACAAGTTTAAAATTGATTTTAATCATTTGCTTGAGTGCTTTGAAGCCCCATTCACCCTTCTCACCACCTTCAAGATCTAACACTTTTTGAAAACTACATAATGCAGTATCAGGATCGTCTTCTTTGAGGGCTTTGCTATTATAGTACTGATTCTCCAAATCGACATCAGGCTCAGAATTACTATCTTCTGAATATTCCTTAAAAACAGAACGAACTCTTTTTATTGGTTAAAGAAGGAAATTTATATACAGATTTATATTTTGTTTTTACCAAACCATAATCTTCTTCTTCCTCACACATGAAATCATCATCGCCATCCGACATTTTAAATAAAATACTTATTTAAATTTAAATAGAGTGTTAAAGATATTTTAGTCGTATTTTTCCGAAACGTCAAATAAATAATAAAAGCCGATGCAAAGTACCAACATGAAAAATAATATAGAATCTGCAAATGTTCAAGTTGTACAACATAGATAAATAAGCACACGAAGTTTACAAGATAAATAAGCATAAGATCTGATCTGATCTATGGATAAGTATAAGATCTGATTTATGTTTACTTATCTATGGAGACTAGCATAAAAGCCATAGAAGCATAGATAAGTAAACATATAATGCTGCGTCCCCACTGCACGAATCCGTGCGGCGAATCCTGTTCGCGACGCACGCATGCGTTGGCTCTTGTGCGCGACGCACACTGCGAGCAATTTGATACATTTGAAATTTTTAGGATTCCATAATATTTTTTTTCTTGATACAGTTCAATTATAAGAAGTGTAAAGAAGTATAACATCTTCTCTACGCATATTCATTTTCAAAATTGAGGATTCGATGAAATATCTTAATGCCTTCACTGTACAATTGAACTTATACCGTAGCACAGATCAACGTTTACGTACAAGTTCAAAGAAATAACGTATACGAATACAGAGGCAGGCTGACCAACAATTATCAGTTTTGAATAAAAATTATTACTTCTGTTCTAAATATAAATACTTGTCAGAAAAGACTTTGAGCAAAAATTCAGTCTGCATATTAATAAGATTTTAAATGATATTTAGCGTAATTGCAAATAATACAATATTACCATTTTTTTTTGAAACATTTAATTTATTTTGAATAATAAATATATGATACGTCATATAAGTAGTAAGAGTATATATATATATATATATATATATATATATATACATGATAATATCATGATGATATAAAATTAACTCTGAAATATGATAAATAAAGTCTACCAAAATATATTTTAGTTGGATATACATATATTTCAACATATCTATAACTTAATTACCGATGTATTTCCTATACTAATAGTTAGATAAAATTATAATTAGTACATCAATTTTAATGACTGCTTACTTATTTACATTTTTGATCCGCGCTTTGACGCTAATCCATTAGTGTCGGTTCGGGTATTCTCGGCAGCCCGATGCGTCGGGTTGCTCGCGGCGGGAGCGAGCGCCGCGAACGCAAGCTATTGAAATTTTCGTGTCGCTTCGACCATGTTCGGCAGGGTACGTAATTCTAAAAATAACCCCCCCTCCCATTTTCAAACAAAAAAAGAAGAAAAAAGTGCGCTATGGACATGCGCAGTGGACAAATTTAAAGGGAATTCGTGCGTTCGCACAGTATCACTCCGCTGCGCAAATTTGTTCGTGACGCACCATTCGCCGCACGGATTCGTAACAGTGGAGACGCGGCATAAGATAGGATAAAAAGATTAAATTTAAAATATAATAGATTTAAAATGACAAGTAAAAATTTGATATATACCACACCAGAAGAAAAAATAAAAAAAATTATATATATATGTAAATATATAATATAATATATGTGCATAGATAAAAGAAGAGTATATATATATATATATATATATATATATATATATATCAGGAATGGTTTCAATGCTGCCGTTAAAAAACATCTTATAGATCAACCTATCTATTCAATTAATGAATTTTTTAATACAAGATAAATATTAATTGTCATTAGGTTAATCTTAGAGTTGTTCATAAACATAACTGATATTAATTTAGTTATATTATAGTATAATTGTATTGACTTAAATTGTAAATGTTAAATTTGAATAAAGTATCTATCTATCTATCTATATATATATATATATATATATATATATATATATATATATATATATATATTGAAATATGTGAGTTTGGTGTTGATATATATTTTGATGAGTTATTTAGAATCGGGCAGTAACACCAAGTAAAGAAAAAAAAAGTTTTTAAATACTTTATTTATCCATACGTTTCGGTCTTCATCGAGACCGTCATTCAGTGGAAAACTAAAAGATTTTATATGATGTAGGAGGCAATAATATAAAGTTATAACTTATATATAAGTACTTACAGAATTAATTATACAAAAATACACGACACTATTACACTGTGATAACCAGGCTATTAATAATTGGAACATTTAAACTAATTAATTTTTATATATATATATATATATATATACAGGGCCGGTCCTGCCTTGCATGCAACGAGTTTTGGAAAATAAATTTATAATATATTATTTATAGTTTTTATTTATATAAATCTAGAATACTTAATAAATTATAATAAACGTTCTAACTTAACTAGGGATACGGAGACACAAAAAGCATATTTATTTTGCAATGTGATATCAGTAGAAACAATTAACCGATTAATAACTCTGCAAATTAGTGAATAATAGCTCTGTTTATTGCTTAATCTACTTTCCAATATAGTTCAAGAAATGCATTTTTTACTGGTTTTTAGACAATACTTCTAAAATACGTTAAAAATTTAACTTTAAAACCTGATACTCTGAATATGACGGGAAAGCAAGACTAAATACAATTCGGCTTTTACGATATCAATAAGGAGAAGTTTACGACGCAATTTTGGATAATGTGAATAATGAAAAAATTAAATTAAATTAAATTTAAAAAATCCAACATGAAATACGAGTATTATGATTGAAAATGAAAAGCTAGTTTTTTTTAGCTCAATAGAATAAATTGCATAATGAATAAGTAAAATGTTCCAAAACCCAAATATTAATATTGCACATACGTTAAAAATAATTGAAATTTTAAAAATATTTGATTATAATCACCCCGCAAATTTCCTCGATTTTCTAAATAATTTTAAAATCAATGTATTTTATACGCTTTTATATTATACATATATATATATAATTTTTTGTGTACTAAATCCATAATAATTAAAAATAATTTTTAAAAAATATGTGAATATTTATATAATTTTATTGACAAACTGTTAAAAGAGTTAAGATTAATAGGAGGGGGGTCGCTAGAAAAAAAGTTGCATGCGGGCGCTAAGGACCCCAGGACCGGCCCTGTATATATGCTTATTTATCTATGTGTATATATATATATATATATATATATATATATATATATAAGATCAGAAAAATATGTATAGAAATTCAGTATAAAAAAACTGAGTGAAAAATTATTTGATTATTCGAAAATTTAGAGTTGTATATATTTTTTAATTGCGCATTAAAACAATTAAAATAAAGAAAATTGACACTCATTCATTTATGGTTTTTGATTAGCGGCCGTGTTTGTGATCTTGATCTATTTATTCTACTTGTATCTATGGTTATCATGTTCATGTTGGCATTATTGTGCAAATCCAAACTAAAGTCAAATTTATTTAATGCTTCGTACATGTTTTCTGCTGTGATCGCTGTCACTTTATTTTTATTCAATAGTTTCGGTAACATATTATTTTTAAGTTTATTATCATTATGACTCGGAACGTGTGTCAAATATGTGTGGAAAATTATACTTTACGAGTTATGAAGTGACTTGAATATTACATATATCAAGAGTAACTTTGTTTTGAAATGTGTTGTTCTTAAAACATGATGATGGAGCGCAAAATTAAATTGAAGACTCTAAATAATCACATTACATGTAAAATTTGCCGGGGATATTTTATAGATGCAACAACTGTAACGGAGTGTCTTCATACATGTATGTTATTATTATTTATAATTTTAGTTATTATATTTAAATTTTTTAATACTGTTTTGCAATTACAGTTTGTAAAAGTTGTTTAGTAAAGCATCTAGAGGAAAATAACTCGTGTCCAACATGTACTATTGTGATACATCAGTCGCACCCCCTGCAATACATAAGTTTTGATAGAACTATGCAAGATATAGTTTTCAAATTGGTCCCTGATCTCCAGGAAAGTAAGTCTAATTATTTGCACTAAGAATGATTAATATTTTTATCAGAAATATTTTTAACACTTGTATATTTCAAGATGAGAATAAACGTGAGCGTGATTTTTATCGGCTGAGGGGTCTACCTTTTCCTAAAGACTTACCTCCTGTACCAGGGGAACCCGATGAACAACTGTCAACTACAGATGTTCATATAGAAACCGATTTCATAGGCAAGACGAACAAGTTAATGTTTGTTTAGAATGTATGAGCACTAATTTTAAAACCTTAAAACGTAGATTTATTAGATGCTCAGCTCAAGCAACAATCACCCACCTGAAAAAGTTTGTTGCTAAAAAAATTTTAAATAGAGATGTAAGTTATTTATGATATATGTGTATATATATATATATATATATATAATAATAGTTAATTATTTCAGGTTGATATTTTGTGCAATAATGAATTGTTAGGAAAAGATCATCATTACATTAAAATTATTTCAAACAGAAGTTATATTTACCTTATTTGTAATAATTGTTTGTGAACAATTTTGTAATAGTTGTTTTAATGAAAACATGAGCTTGATTATGATTTAACTAGAAATATCTACAAAAAACACAGATTGGCATCAAATAAATAAATAAATAAAACCAAGATTTATTATAGTAGTCGGAGTTAATAACGATTTATTTTTTACTGATTTTAATAATATATATTTAGAATATAATTTTTAATTTTGTAGTTCAATTAATAATTGAACTGCATTGCATTTATTGAATAGCATATTCATTATTCTATCAAAAATTAAAATAAAATGGTAAACTTTTTTCTTTGCCTATGGGGGTAAAAAGGGCCATGTGACAGATATTTTAAAAACAGAAAAAACTATTTCTACAATTTTGCATAAACTGGGAATTTTACTGAACACACTTAGATAGTTATTTGTTATGTGTTATGTCACAATGTAGTTGGTTTGGTTTTTACAGCATAATTGCTAAAAGTCAAAATGGATCTTTGTGCCCCGCCCTATCCTATGGGATGAGAATGCTTATGATGAACTATGAACTTAAATTAAAGGGTTTAAATATCTAACTTTAATAATATTGAAGTTACAAAATAACAAAAATCAGCAAAAAAAATAGATTAGTTAAAAAATACTGATCTTGATTATTGTATTCTTAAATAGTGATTGATATTTAAAATCATATTAATATTTATTTAGCGCCTTGTTTGTCTCGGATTTGTTTAACTACAAGTTTCCGTTCCGGTTTTGAAATTAAAAATTATGGTTACTTAAATTTATCATAAAAATTGCTATAATTATATTAACGTTACCAAATTTCAACTGGCTAAATACAGTCATCAAGAAATGGCTTTGTGAAGAAACCGAAACCGATTGCTCAAATGTAACCAAATGGGAAAAAAATAAAATAATACTGAAAGTGGAATTTTTGCTCCTAATGATTTATTGATAATCAAAAAGAAATACACATTATTTAAAAAATGTATAAGCTTAAGGTAAAGCTAAATAGTGTTAGAGCCTAATGTCTAAGAGCCAGCGAACTATTCGACTAACATGTTTTCACAAAGCTATAATTTTTTTATATGATATTTTATTATCGGTCTATTAAGAAAGTACCGTTCCGGTAAGGACCTCGCGGTAGCGTCATCATACCTTCAATTTTTGAAAATGTCAAAAATAAAAGTTTTTATAACCTGCTTAGACCACATAATGTAGAACAATTGATGCCAAATAATATTTAGTATTAGAGCTAAAAAGGATAAAATATGTTTTCAATTGATGTTTTCGGGTAGTGCGTTTTGTTCGATTGTTTTTTCTTCTAATACCGCAAATATTGTTCAGATCAAATTTGTGTAACTAATTGAAAAATTGAACAATCAGAGCCTGTACACCCGCGTGTAACGCTAATAGTACCCGGCATAAAATTAATTTGGGATTCCGGTTTTTATTACACGTTTTTGAAATTTACTTTTAATGTTTTGATAACAATTTAATAGTGATTTATTCTTAAAACTTATGATTTACATTTCTTTAGGAACAAAACAACTTTTAAAAGTTGAAAAATTAGTTTTCATGAAGTTTCTAGAAATCCTATAACATAGCCCATCAATGTTTGGGAATCACTGGTGTACGGCAATCCTTAGGGGTTTTAAAAATGTCAATATCTTCGGCTCATTGGTATTTTAAACAAAACACACTACATGTAGATGCATAGATTTTTTTTTAGAATATGTAATGATTTTATTAAAATGATATAGACTTTATATTTAAGTATTCTTAATATTAGACAAATCAATCATATATTTTTCTAAATGTTGTATGTACCTTCAATTCATAAAGAAAAAAAAAACAAATTATCAGTTCTGAAATAAAAAGAAAACTTTTCACCAAACGTCATACAGACACTATATTTGCTAACTGTTGGATCTGTAATAAAATTTATCTTTTAATATTAAATTCATTTTATACGGTGTATATGTAACTGCAATCCTATTATTTTGAAGAAACAATATGTAAGAAATGCATACCGATGAAAAAATTCGATATCGGTATTTCGCTTTTATAAGCGGTAATATTATTATTTATGAGGTGTAAACAAAATTAAAATTGACTTGTACAAATATAAAAATAAACTTAATATAAATCAAAATAAATAGAAATAGAAGATAAAACTTGTACAAATATATTATATAATTATGTATGTATATATGTATATGTATATATATATATATATATATATATATATACACATTAATATACAAGTCCTGGATTTTTTCAATAAATTGATATATGTTTCTTTTCCGAACAATAAATCCAATAAATGAAAAATAATTTGTCTTTGGTAGATGTTTAAAGGACGTTTCGGAACTAGATACGTTTCATCATCAGGTTTCTTCTGGTGAAAACATTTTTTTTATATAGACTAACTACTAACTCTATTAATGACGAACAATACAGAATATTAAGTAAAAAACTTTTTTTTAATATAAAGGAATGGATTATGTACCAAATAAAAGTAAAGAAAGGTAAAGGTAGCCATTTTTTGTACATTTAGCTCTGGATCTTCGAAAAGACTGGACGTGCCTTTGCCAAAAACAAATCAGCACATCTCTCTATCAATAGGAATCGAATATTTCTGAACCATTCAAATCGATTGATCTGTGCACCCGAAAACGTGGACGAAAAATGCGGGCACACAAAACACACACACGCACACATCCATAGATAAATAAACATAACATAGCAATAAATCGGTTGATCCACACACACATCATTTTTTCTGAGGTATGCAAAAATGTTCAGAAACCTTCAAAACGTAAAGATATGCAAAATTTTCATTTTCGATTCAGAGCTAAATGTACAAAAAATGGCAGTTTTTGGAGAGAATAAAGCATCCGATTGAATGATTCAAAAAACTTTCTGTTGACAAAACAATTGCTTTTGGAAATAAATCATTTTTTTTGTACTTCGAAAATAATTCAGATTAAAGTATTAACATACTTTAAATATAATAATTTAAATATTTTTGAAGCTCGCATCGCATACTTGAAATAAATATTTTTGACTTTGTGATTCAGTAGATATAATTCTTATAAATATTGAACAATGTTACAGTATTTATAATAACGATTTCGTCTAATCTATATGTAGTTCGTCTACATTCTGTTGAAATGTCTATATTATTATCACTTATACTCTTCTTTTATCTATGATTATTTATTTGTCTAGGATTCTATTCTGTTTCTGTTCATCACAGTCACAGACAGTAGACAGATGTCAATGATGTGTCAAATTGGCGGAGTGAACAAACTGCAGTTACTTGCAGACTTACATTGGTTTTTGACGTTTGCATTTTTACTTGAAGACTTCAAACAGCGTGAGTCATTTTGAGATATCGTTGCCATTGGTTGCCTTGGTTAGTTCTCGTAAAATGACACAGTGGCCTGCATCCATTGTTGCCATGTCTACAGTTTTAACTGTAGATCTACATTTTTTTGGAAATGATCTCAGTTTTGCAGTTTTGGGCTCGAAATCTACAGTTTTTTTGCTGAAGATGCTAGCGCCGTTTATTTTATTTGTTATGCAGAACTTAGTGGCAGTTGCACTGAGTCAACTTCAACAAAACTACTATTGTTAAACTAGAGATAATGGTCATCGATTATTTTAATAGTATACGCTAATATGAGAAGCTCTATAGCTCATGCTTGACTGTCAACGCAAAGAAAAACGGCATGACTAGCGGCGAAAAGCGAAATGATATTCAACCGTTTATCTCTCGTTAACTAACCAACCTTTCTGTTGTTAAATATTTTCCTTCTGTAAGTCATTTCTTGTATCTGTAAGTCATCTAAACCGATTTTATTATTATTATTATTATTTTTTTTATTTTTTTAACGGCAATCAGAACCTATGTCCTTTGAGCAGTTTGGGCTGAAACTTCGTATTTTTAGATGGTAACCCAATGTTAATCCATCCATATTTGATGATTTTTGTTATTAGAATTAATCTAATAGGGCTGACTCTTTATTGTGCAGCAATGCCGGGCAAGGGCTATTTTCACTTGGAAACATATTGCTATCTATATTTCCAAGTGAAATCGTTGCCTGACAACAGGCTGCTCGAAGTGGGTATCGAACCCGTGACCTCTGAAACAAGTCCCGTCGCTCCTAACCCCGCTTTTTACCTATGGGCGAGCCCGATTGTTAAAATTAAAGCTAAAAACCAACTGGTTTGACGTTTGCATTTTTACTTGAAGACTTCAAACAGCGTGAGTCATTTTGAGATATCGGTTGCCATTGGTTGCCTTGGTTAGTTCTCGTAAAATGACACAGTGGCCTGCATCTGCATTGCCTGCATTGCGAATTGCGAGTTTTGTTATCGTTACACAGCAACAGGATTTGTGAACTTCTTATGGTTACGTTCTAACCTAAATGTACAAATGGAAATATCTTTTCAATATTAATTTTATTCTTTTTATAAATTATAGTATTGAATGACAGGGATGACATTTAGTCATGAACTAAAAATGGTTACATATCACTTTCTGAGGAATATGTTGTCAATCTTGTAAGAATCTTAATAATGGATTTATCACGTAGTTTGTTATTAAACGATGAAGCTTTATCCAAGTTACCAGAAGCTAAGCAGCAAGTGTTTGTGTTTGAATGGCTACGGTTTTTAGATGAAACTTTACCATTGTCTCAAAAGGTTTGTATATAATTTAGTTAAATGTGATAATCACAAAGTGGTATTGTAAATTGCAAAGTCTTAATTGTATGATACAAAAATGTGTTTTAAAATGAATTTGAATTTTATACATATATGATTATTTAATAAGTAAAAGCAGTTCGTGACAGCAATATTATTTATCAAGTACTATACTCTTCTGAGCTAGTTTTTGTAAAATTTTCTAACTTAGTTTTATTCATAAAACTCAAGTTATTTAAGACTTATTTATAATTCTATTTAGTTATGTATTAATATTGAACTTCATGTTACAAACAGCAGAAAAAAATTCAATTGTAGTTTTTATTTTCATTTACTATGAAAATTTATAATGTATAAAGTTTGTATAATAATGAAAATAACGCACTTTTATAACTTGAACAGCTTCTCATAAAAATTTTTAAGATATTAGTCATCATGGTTTTGCATTTATTCCTGTCTCACAGTGATGACAAGACAAACCATTGTATAAATATACAACATTGTGTCTTTATGTATATGCGTATATATTTATTCAAGTATATTTTTGCAGTCACATATCAGAGAATGCCAAAATAAGTTAGTAGAACAGTTAACTGTACGCATGCAATGCCCTCATGGGCCACCTACCCGAAATTTAATTGCACGTTGTTTAGCTACTCTTTTTTCTCTTGGGGATACATTTTTATTATTTGACACTGTTAACAAATGCAATGAGATTCTTAGACATCGAGATGATACATCGAGCTATCTTTCAACAAAACTGTAAGTTGCTTGTAAGTTTATATTTATATATGTTTATAAATATTTGATGTAAAATTTTTTCCAAATCTATTTTAGTACTGCAATTGCAGTTTTGGGATGTATGTATGAAAGTTTGGGAAGGATGATGGGGCGATCATATGAAGAAACAATACAAATACTAACCAAAAGTCTGAAGCATGCCGAATCTCAAACAAGAGCAGAAATCATGGTTACACTCAATAAAGTAAATTAATATTTGAATTAAGCGCAATACCCTTAGAATTATATGTAAGAGCAGAGCAATGTATGAATATGTATGCATGTCTGTACATATATATATTGTCTCATTTTGGCCAGGACAGACCCGGATTTTGAGCTTGTTTACTAGGTTTTTTTCTAAAAGTAATGTTTGTTGCGGCTTTAAAACTTTTGTTTTAAAGGGTTTAGAAAAGTGTAGGCTTAAATTGAATCTTTGCATTGATTAAAACAAACTTAATATTAGTAAACCATTCACAAAAGGAGCAAAATTTTTAAGGAAAGCTAAGTCAAAAATTTTCTTTATTGGTCCCCCGTCATACATAAAGTGTGTTGTATTATGTGAGATTCATATGTATGTGTTTGTTTGTGTAAATACATACATTTGTGTCTGATATACATTTAATTGTATCAACAAAATTGTATTAATCCGATGACGACTGGCTATTTTAAGATACATAGAAGAGTATTATATATACATAGTATATAGTATTATATATACATAGTATAGTATTATCATGAACTTAAAGTATTATGTTAAAACTATTTGTGACTCACATTAGATCATATATGAATATATTAATGTAATTGGACATGTAATTGGTGTGTGAGACTCAATACATAACAAGTTTTCATAATTATCATTCAATGTAAAAAAATATTTTAGTTGTGTGCGGGAATGGGCACAGTAATTTCGAGCGTGTACAAGGATGTATACAAAGCTTGTAAGCATGGATTAACGGATCGTGCCATGTCAGTTCGTTGTTCGGCTGCTCGATGCTTGCTGGAAATGCTTAATGATAACTCACAACAGGAACGTCAACTCTCCTACATGCTGCTTCAAACAGCTAATGCTGATTTTGAGGCTTTGGTGACACTTTGCTTTAGAGCCTTTGATGGGAGCAATTACGAAGTTCACTGCACTGTTGCTAGACTTCTTGGCACCCTGATGGCTGCTATCCAATGCCAAGACGAAAAATCTTTAGGTTTTTATCATAATTATGCAATTATAATTATTTTTTTTATTTGCGATGGGTGTAAATTATTGATATCTTGTTTAGTTTTTACGTTTCTTCATAGCTAACTAATAATAATATTTTGATATTGGTTAGTTTTACTACTAAAAAAGTAAATCAATAAGGAGAATAGTTTTAAATGATGACATTTTGTGTGCTGTTTTATACAGATATTCTATTTATTATATTTTTACTATTTTATTTAATGTATTTAAGATATTTTACTTACTTGATAAAAAAAAGGTACTTTCGAATGGTGCTAATTAAAAATTAGTTCAAATAACCCAACTGCACTGCTCAAAAATACAAAATGAAAAACAACTTTTTTTTTATTGTTTTTTGTTATAGATGTATAGTTTTAGATCAGAATATAAACACGTCAATTTTTTGCTGATCTTTTACGGTTACATTAATATTTAGTTTGAAACTTGAAGAAAGGGCTCATTTTCAATTATACCTGGTTCAAATGTTTAATTAGGAAATTAAAGTTTGTATATTTATTTGTTTTTCAAAGAGATCTATAAAGTGATGTATAAATTGTTTAAATACAATAATGTTCAATTCAAGAATACATCTATATTTTTATTTTTTTTATAAATTTCAGGCCATCAAAACAAATATGCCATTAAAACAGTGAGTTTGGAGGAAGCTTTGAGTTTGCTGATGTCAGGTTTTCTACGAGGGGGAATTTCATTTTTGAAAGGCACTGGAGAAATGATTAAAGGAGGTTCTAGTGGCAATCGTGAAGTACGAGTTGGTGTAACTTATGTAAGTTTGTGGACTGTTGCAGTATAAATTTTATTGGGACTCATGATTATTTATTGAAATATTTATTATGCATATATATTTCAATTAGGCCTACATCGTGTTTGTTCAAGCAATGGGTGTTCAATGGTTGGAACGTAATTTAACAACATTTTTAACACATATTCTGGATCTAGTTGCTAATCCCAAAGTTGCATCATCTCATGTTGATGCTGTTTACTCACGAAAATGCATCAGTTTCATTTTGCATTCTGTCCTGGGGAAAATGCTCAGTGAGAAAGCGCAGTCATCCTCTTGCAAAGAAATAGTTCACATCATAGTTAAACAAATGAATTCATTAGATTTTAATCCAGAGAATGCAAAAGACTACAACCAGGTAAATACAATTAACAAGTATATGTGCATTTCTAGGAAGAGTAAAAGTTATTTAAACCATTTTTGGCTCTTTTTGCCTCGTCTTCGAAACGGCTAGACCTGCCTTTGCCAAAAACTAATCAGCACGTCTCCTTATCAATACGAGTTGCATGGTTTTTGAATGATTCAAATCGGTTGATTCATCTTCCCAAAATCGTCGACGACAATTTGTATCCGCACACACACACACACACGTAAGGTATTTCCACACAGTAAAGGCATTTCCTTTGCCAAAATTATCAGAAACCTTTGAAACGTAAAGATATGTTAAAATTTTCATTTTCGATTTTTTTTTGTGATTACTGTAGCTCACCCGGCGGGAAGTTAATGAAGATCAATTTCATTAAAAAATTTAATGAATTTATTTTTTTTCGTATAAAATCATTTCTTTATATCAATTGTTAATGTATGTAGGTAATGTATTTCTATTTTTTTTATCATTTTATGCTCAGTGTTGTAGAAAATATAAGCAGAGAATTCGTGCAATAGTAATAAATGCATTTGAAATTAAGATCAAAGTTAAGCATAAAGAATAATAAAATATTACTTTTGTAAATTGTAATGCCATCATATAACTTAGGATTAAAAATTAGTTTAATTATTTTACTTTTTTGTGCTTTCTAAGCAACTTTATATCTGAATATATAAAAGCTATATTGAAAAAAAAATAATAAGATGCAATTATTATAACATGATAGTAGCCCTTACCTTTCAAAAAGCATCTCTAAAAATTTGACGTTTGGTTTGTTGTTTTCCCATGACTATGTAGGTTTACCAGTATGTATCAATAAATATATTTATATATGTATATATATATATATATATATATATATATATTTATATATGTATATATATATATATATATATATATAAATATGTTTACTTGAAAATTTTAACAAACTATGATTTGCAGGAAACTCTTTTTGGGCAACATCTGCTAGTGTGTGCTTTACAAGAAATGGGCCGTCTTATTTTAAGACTCGGTACACAAGCACAAAATTTAATTCATGATTCCTCTTTGAATCTAATTGAGGCTACGGTATCTGTATTAGTGCACCCTTGCCAGGCAGCGAGGTTGGCTGCAGCTTGGTGTTTGCGCTGCATATGTATTGCAGTGCCTAGTGAAATAACTCCTCTTATCGATCGCTGTGTTGCAGCTATTGAAAGTATGAACACCTTGCCTGAAGCAATAGCAGGTACTAATGAAAATATTATAAACACATATTTCAATTATTTTGATTATTTGCTGAAAACTATCTTATAAGCAATATATAACTGTAGTAATTGCTCAGTATTCACTGCTATTTTTATGAACAGGTTACAGTAGTGCACTGGCTGCAGTGCTTAGCAGTGTGCGTTACTCGCCTTTAGGAATCCCTCACACGAAAGGAAAAATTGTTTTTAATACTGCGGAAGAATTATTAAGATCAGCTAGTCAAAATAGCAGGTTATCTTTGAACAGAACCCAGGCTGGCTGGCTTCTTATTGGTAGCATAATGACTTTAGGTTAGATAAGTTAATGCAAATTTATTATTAAAATCATTAGCCTCATTCATGTTTCAATAAAATTATATCATTAGGTATACCAGTTGTTAAAGGTCTATTACCACGCATGTTATTGTTGTGGAGAAATTCTTTCCCAAGATCTGCTAAGGAATTAGAATCAGAAAAATCACGTGGTGATGCATTTACATGGCAGGTATTTGGAACAGCCAACTTTTTACATTTTATGAATTTGAAATAATACAGAATACTTTCTACATTTTGTTGTACATTTTTTCTTATTGTATTAATGGCAATTTCATTATTTAGGTCACTTTAGAAGGGAGGGCTGGTGCATTATCGGCTATGCATAGTTTTCTCCAGCATTGTCCTGAATTGGTCACAGAAGAATATATTCGGAGACTTTTGACGCCTATCGAAAGTGCATTAGCTATGTTGATAGGGTAATAAATGAAGATAACTATTTTATAAAACTAGTTGGTATTGGTATTTAGCCTTGAGGCAAGTTACATGAACTTCCCGATATGTGTAAATAATCGACTTAATCAATAATAAACAAATTAATTTATGAGTAATTAGAAGTATTCCGAGGGGATTTATTACACATGATTGAAAATCAACGAACACATTAACTCGGAGTATTTTCTGATGGCAAATTTTCACAAATCAATAATTTTTATAATTGAACCAGTTTTTGTAGGACGTTGATCGTTTAGTATGTTCATTAAGACCAAGTAATCTATCGTTATACCAAGTAAATCATCTAATTTTAATTTTAACAAACGTCAACAAAACTACTCATTTTCTCAAACTTTGATGAATTTTTAAAATTAAAATACTTGTCGTAAGGCCGTAATATTTCAGTAAGTTCTATAAGACCAATATATACATCGCCAAAGAAAGTTTCATAAAAATCGGCTTAAATTTTTTTTTCAACAGTTAATTACAAGAAAACGGCTCGGTAGATTTTCACCTAAAACTAATCAGTATTATTCCCAACTAATATCTTTCGAACAGTTTTTGATTTTTTAAAATCGATTTGGTAGAATGAGCTTAAATGTGGACGAAAAGTTTAACACTTTTTTCAAATTACAAAGAAACGGCTCGGCAGATCGTCTCACAAAACTGACAAACTATAGTGCTTATTAAGATACATCTAATGGCTTTTAAATTTCTGAAATCGATTCAGGCGTTTTTGAGCAAACGTCGATCAAAGGTCTAATTTTGACGAATGCCAAAAAAACGATACCAATATTTGCAAACTTTGACGGATTTTTTAAGCTAAACGAGTTGTCGTAGGACGGTAATATTTTAGTATGAACTAGAAGACTATGGTATCTACCGTCAAAAAAAAATCATAAAAATCGTCGATTTTTTTTTTTTTTTTTTTTAAACTTTATTAGAAGAAAACAGCCCGGCCGATCTTTACCAAAATGATTAGCACGATTCCCAACCAATATCTATCGAATGGTTTTTGAATTTTCAGAATCGATTCAGAATTGCGGGCTAAAACGTGGACGAAAAATTTTTCACTTTTCTGCAATTTACAAAGAAACGGTCCGGCCGATCGCCGCACAAAACTCAACGCTAGTCCTCATCGCGATACATCGAATGGCTTTTAAATTTTTGAAATCGGTCCATCCGTTTTGGAGAAAACGTCGATTTACGGCAAAAAATCTCTTCACACACACGCACACATACACACACACACATACTTTTTCCAAATTTATCTCATTCGATTCAGAATGGCTTGAAACGTCGAGAAAACATAAAATTAGCGAATCGGATTTTCTGATGAAAACAAACTTCTCCTTTGGGAAGTTAAAAATTGCATTATTGAGCCAGCTGAAAGTGTGTATAATGCTTTACTTTTTTATAAAAAAAAAAAAAAAAAGTGATGTGTTTGTATAATTACTATCCTCTTTATTTTTACGAATACATATTTATATATGTGTGTACGTTTGGCTGTGGTATATACAAAATTTGCATATACAAAAATTTGAATATTTTTACATATTATTGCAGCATATCGTCAGTCCTAAAATCATATGGCCAACAATTGAAAGCACCGGCAGCTATGGTTCGTTTGCGAATGTATGAAGCTTTCTATTTATTGCCGCCAACATCATTCCAGAATTCTTACACACATCTTTTGAGAATGTTAATATCTGAATTCACTCTTGGAGAAAACATTGCAAATACTACTACATCTCAGCTTCAAGCTGTTTGTCACTCAGACGATTACGTAATCTTGGGAACATGGATGCAAGCTACTGATCACCAGGCTATTGAAGATCAGGTAAAAAATTGCATGCATGTTACATTTAGTATATTTATTTGCATTCTTACACACAACTAATTTTGGAATTTTATCTAGCCTTAAATATATAGGGTCATAGAGTGGGTCGATTTGTATGGGTCAAAAAAAGTAGCTTAGGCACATATGATTTTTGGATACTAGTGATCAAAAAATAATATACTTTGCTGAAGAAACTATACCTTTAAAATGAATTTTGATGTCCCGTGCATTGACCCAAAAATAAGGATTAAATTTTGAAAAATTCCTTCCGACCCCCGTTATCTTTGGAAGGTCAATCTACCCATGTCCGTGGTTCACTCCTAGGATTTTCCCTGAGAGGTTTTTCAAAATTTAACCCTTATCTTTGGGTCAATGCACGGTACATCAGAATTCATTTTAGAGGTATGGTTTCTTTAGCAAAACTATATTATTTTGATCCCTAGTATCTAAAAATCATATGTGCCTAAGTGACCTTTAAATCGACCCGCCCTAATATATACACACATATATATATATATATATATATATATATATATATATATATATATATATATATATTAGGGTGGTCCTTAAAATGGTCATTTTCGAATTTCCTTGCTCCCAGGGGCTCAAATGGTTCCAAATAGATAAAAAACAATTCTCTGAAAGTTTTAGCTCTTAATATTAACGTTTAGATAGAGCGCAATTCAATCAAAGTTTGTATGGAAAGAGCATGGAAAAAATTTTGAAAATTAAAAAAAATGTTTTAGATGTAACTTAGCGACAAATGAATGAGTTCTATTCATTCATTTGTTCGCTAAATTACATCTAAAAAACATTTTTAAAATTTTTGCAAAATTTTCCATGCTATTTCCATACAAAACTTTGATTGAATTGCGCTCTATCTAAACGTTAATATTACGAGCTGAAACTTTCAGAGAATTGTTTTTTATCAATTTGGAACCATTTGAGCCCCTGGGAGCAAGGAAATTCGAAAATGACCTAAGTTACATATATACTCCAAAATATAAATAAATTTATATATTGTATAATTCTAAATTTGATGTTGACATATGTATTAAAAAAGTCAAATAATGCCTAACATCAATAGAAAATTCTATATATGTTAATTATAATTACCAAGTATTTATAAAATAAATTACTACTTTTTATTATTTTTAGTTACAGCCAAACAGTGCTGCAAGATCTGGAGCTTTAGAGCATGATCCGTGCTGTTTATATCGTCAGTTGCAAACAGATGAAGATATCCCAGGACCTTTACCATTAGGCGTGGCTGTGATTGATAAATCCATATATCTTTTTGGTCAAATATTTCCACATGTTACAAATAAACATAGGTATTGCTACAGAATAATATAAACCTGATACATAGTATGAGCAAGTAATGCTTTAATGAATTTTATACATTCTAGTAGAGATTAGTTTAAGAATTGATTCATGAGTTTTATTAAAATCTTTGAAAATTTTAATAGAAAGAAATTTAATTTAATTACTATCTGTAACATATAAAAATAGGATACGAAATACGGATGATTAAACATGTCATACCATTTTATTGAGATGTCACATTTCAGGTTGCAAATGTTGGATCATTTTAACGAATGCATTAAATTGGCTAAAGCTTCAAGACAAGAAGCTATCCAAATGAATGTATTTACAGCTCTTCTTGTAGGTCTAAAGGGTTTGACTGATGTTAAAGGAACTTTGGGACAAGATGTTAAGAAAAGTGCAACTTCTCTCATTGTTGTATGTATTATTATGAAACATTATATTTTAAATAATATAAATTGAGAAGTTATTTTTACTTAAAATTAAATGGACATACTATTAATATTTTTAGTTTATTTGATTCTTAAAATTAATATAGTCAAGAATAATAGCCAATTCACTAGTCGTACTGTATATCATTTTCTCGATAACTTTTGTTTTAAACCTTATAATCATATTTGTTTATCAAATCTATAAAAATTTTATTTATAGAAATAAATATTTTTTTACATGAAGTTTTTGGCTTTCAAAAATTTCATTCCGCATATCAATACAATAAAATTTATAGTTATCAAAAACTAAAGATTTTTTTTTTTTCAAAAATAAATTAGATTGGATCGAGATTAATTTTTTGATTAATTGTTTTTAGAGTGCTCTTACTGCTGCGAACCCTGTTCTACGTTGTGCAGCAGGCGAAGCAGTCGGACGAATTTCTCAAGTTGTTCAAGATTCTCGTTTCACTGCGGACTTTGCTCAAACTAGTTTTGATCGTTTAAAAGTTGCGCGTGACGTGGCAAGTCGTACAGGTCACTCTTTGGCACTTGGTTGCTTGCATAGGTATGTTGGCAGCTTGGGCACATCACAACACCTATCCACTAGCCTGTCAATACTACTGGCATTGGCTCAAGATCTCAGTAGCCCTACGGTACAAGTTTGGAGTTTGTATGCCTTAGCATTGATTGCTGATTCTGGTGGTCCAATGTTTAGGGGCTATGTCGAACCAACATTATCCGTGGCATTGAAACTACTATTGGACGTTTCAGCTTCACATGTTAATGTACATCAGTGTATTGGTAAATTATTATCTGCTTTGATAACAACAATTGGACCAGAGTTACAAGGAAATAATAATTCTATAGCAGCAACAAGATCCTCTTTTCTAAGTGCTTGTACAATAATGTTAGGTAATAACAATCCTTCTGTTAGAGCTGAAGCTACAGGTTGTTTGCAACAGTTGCATCTTTTTGCACCGAAACATGTAAATTTGAGTTCACTTGTACCAATGTTATGTAAAACTTTGGTGAGTACTCATCTGCTTTTGCGAAAAGCTGCTGTGTCTTGCCTCAGACAATTAGCACAAAGAGAAGCTAAAGAAATTTGTGACCATGCAATAACATTAATGTCTCAAAACATTGATGGTCTAGTTATAACAGAATTAGGTTTACCAGGAGTTTTATTTGGTTTATTAGATACAGAAACCGACGCACGACTAGTTAAAGATATTCATGATACATTAATTAGTATGCTTCAAATATTAGCAGCCAACAACCTTGTGCAATGGTTAACCTTGTGTAAAAGTGTATTAACAATAACTACTGAAACTGGAACTGCTAATCAAGAAGAAGGAGCATTAGATGAGGAAAATGATGACGATCAAGCAGAATTTCGTACCACAGAAAATAAATCGTCGCAAGTTGTAGTACACCCACGTTGGCCAACACGTGTTTTTGCTGCTGAATGTGTGCGTAGGATTATTGCAGCTTGTGAAAATGATTGTCCACAACATTTTGATTTACTTTCTGCTAAAGAATTACAGCTCACAAGAAGTCATGCAGACTTTTTAGTGTTACATTTATCAGATTTAATACGAATGGCTTTTATGGCCATTACCAGTGATTCTGATGAATTACGTTTAGAAGGTCTGAAAACTTTGCAAGTGATAATTGATAAATTTGCTCGTGTTTGGGAACCTGAATTTCCTGGTCATTTGTTGTTGGAGCAATTTCAGCACAAATCGATGCCGCATTAAGACAAGTGTTTTTACCAGAAACACCAGCTCATGTGACATCAGTTGCTTGTGATGTTTGCAGCACATGGATTCGTTCTGGTGTAGCCAGAGACCTTACTGATTTACGCCGCGTTCATCAACTTTTAGTATCTAGTCTCAGTAAATTTCATTTTCCGGTTGGATCTTTGCAATTATATAATGAAAGTATGGCAACCTTAGAGAAATTATCTATACTTAAAGCATGGGCTGAGGTAAGATGTTTTGTATATATATATATATATATATATATATATATATATATATATATATATATTTATTTATTTATTTAATAGGTTTATGTAGCGGCTATGATTGCCAACGGAGCGGCGCCTATGTATTTTCCAAAACAAAATATTAGCAGTACATTAAGTGTGAATGAAACAAATAAAATGGATGATCTTCATTTTAAAGATAAAAGCCTTTTAGTTCTTGTTCAACCTGAACTTTCTGAACTTTCTGCTTATTGGCTGGCTGCATTACGGTAAATAACTACTAACATTAATAATTTTTGTTTTTAATTTTGACCGCATGCCCTCATGTTGAAGACACACGTGAGCACGCGATATATTATTTTTATTAAATATATATTTATATTAAAATTATGTACAGTAATAGTTCCTCAGTAAATTTTACTTAGACTTATTTCAACTTTTTTTTACCAGTACAAAATTGACAATTTTGGATGCGGTTTTCAACTTTATAGTATGATTATGTACAGTATCATTTATGTTTCAAAAGAATATTGCTTATTTTCTGAATACTTTTAATGCTTTCTCTATGGCAATCTTTACTGCTGGAGTGACATGGCCCAGTAGCGCTACTGAACGAACCAGGCACAACATATAGTTAAGACTAGATATCTCTATTAAAATGCATTGATTTCATACTTCTTTATTGATTCCTAAAATCTCAATTACATTCTAAGTTTCTATTTATGATATCATCTATATTCACTACTATGTACTATCATTTTACATTAACTACTCTTGTTATTCTCTAGAAATCAACATAACAGTGCCATCTATTCATAGCTAACAATATTTTAAGATTTTTCAATCGTTATACTAATGAAAATGTATTTGAAAATAAGAATTACACTTCTAATGCAAAAATTGCAATATTTTAGTTCTTCATTGATTAACTTATTATTAGTGTTATATCTTAAGACAAGGGATGACACATAGGTATAATTTACAATTTTAAATTATGCATTTCATTCTTCACATTTTTTATGTTTAAGTTGATAACATGCGAAAGAGTGAAATCAACTAATAATTAGTGTAACAGTAATAAAAAGTGTTAGGTAAATGGCCAATTGGTAACTTTTAATCATATTTAGGGATCATGCCCTTTTGTCATTGCCTTCGGAATTTGCAAGCCAACTTCCATATGATGGAGGTGCGTTTTATACTACGGATACAATGGAAAGTTCTAGAACGCATTTTCTTTCCCGTTGGCCAGCTATATTACTTGCTACTACAATTTGGATCAATGATGGAGGCTTACAGAAAAAAAATGCAGCTGAAGCTGAAGATAACTCACGTGATAAAGATGCCAAAATGCAGGCTAATAACAACATGCCTGCTGTGTCTGCAACGAGCTCAGAAAAGTATTGATTTATTTGTTTATTATCTTTCTTATAGCAAATTATTTTTATGTAGAGTTTATTATACAAAGCAGTGATATGTATATATATAATTTATATTTTTTCATATGAGAGACTTTTAGTACTCTTATTTCTCTTTGATTTTTAAATCAATGTCTATGAAATATAAATGCATCTTCCATTTTTAGATTTCATCTGTTATTTGGGATTTGTTTAGAGGCCTTATGCAATCAACGAACATTAGATACATTGGATGATGTAATCACATGTTTACAAGCATTAAATACTTTACTAGTCACAGAATGGGCTAGAAGAATTTTGATGATCCATACATCTTTACCTATAGAACTATGCAATGTTTTACATCGTCTAATTATAACTAGGGATGCATTTGAACCTCAGTATCTCTGTTTGAAGATTTTACAGTTAGTGACAAAAGCAGCTGAAGAAAATTTGGAGGATGTGAAGAAAAATAACTTAGAAGGTAAGTAATTAATAATTATTATAATTATCTGAATTATGAATGAATGAGTGTTACTTTGAATTATCGTTACTTAGAAAGTGTCAAGTTGTAAGTTGTCTTTGAAAATTTAAACTTCATCTTATACACACAAATTTTACATAGTCTGAACCGTTTTAATATATTTAGTCTATTTTTATGGATATAAATAGCATTAGAGATTTTATTTTATTTAAAAATTAAGTTTTATTTTCCATAGTTACAACTGATTTTGAGAATGAATTATTTTATATAATGCAGAATCTACAGTGAATGACGATGTGCCTTCAACTACCGAGTTAGATAACCATGGTAAAGGTATCGTAAGTAATGCGGATCCAGGTCAATCTTTGGTATTCGCAATTTTGAAAGTTTGTTTATGCCTACTGATTTGCAAGCTACCAGCTGTAGATCCCAGTACACTACCTGATAAAAGATCTAAACAGAACAGTCAAAAAAAAATATGCAAGTTGAATGAAGATGACAGTCATCTAGTAGCTGAAATATTAAGATTAATGGAATCTCTTCCACAATTATGCTCTCCCCAAGGTATTTTATTTCTGTTTTCACCTAATTTTACTGGTTTGATCTGCTCGTTCTATTTAAAAGTAGATCAAAATTAAAATAGTGGAGTTAAAAGAAATAATAATATAATGTTATATATTTACAGCCTCAAATGAATATCTTAATGTATTCTATATCCCTTTTTTGCAATTACATTATATATTTAACCACTTAATGCTTACGTTTGTTCGCGCAAAACTTATGAACAGAACTTAGTTTGTTCATAGGAATTTTTAAACTTATCACAACTTGTTGGACGATCGGAACGCCTAATGGATTTATAAAATTTTATTATATTTTACTATTATATATTAATGTAAAAAATTCAATAACTTAAATTCTTCAAATATACATCAATGCGTTTTTGGGGTCTGTGACTCGTTTTCTTCATTTGTTATTGTAAACTGAACTATACTAAAATCTTTTTTTTTTTAATTTTTATTTCATAGTAATAACATTCTAAACACTTAAAAAAAATGTGATGATTCATTGCCAGTAAATTTTTAAACTAGTTGTGTATGGCATTGTACCTTAAGGCAAATTGCTGGAACTTACCGTACCGGAACAAAATGTTCGAGGAATATTAAATATTTTGAAATAGATTCTTATAAATACTATAACATTGTTTAATATTTATACAGAATTAAATATAAAATCTGAATTATTTTCGATATACAAAATAATTTTAATTTTAAAAACATTTTTTGAAAAAAAAAAATTGAAATAATTTTTTTTTTTTACAGAAGCAATTATTTTGTCAAATTTGTGTCAATCAGCATATCTCCCTATCAATAGGAATCAAATGTTATTCTATCAAACTCAAATCCTATCAAATCGGTTGATCTGTGCGAAAACGAAAAGATGCGGACACACAAAACACACACACACACACATTTACAACCATTTTTTCTGAGGAATGCCAAAATGTTCAGAAACCTTCAAAATGTGAAGATATGGAAAAAAATTCATTTTTGATTTTCAGCCCATTATTATAACTACGCTACGGGAAGTTAAAAATGTGTGCATTAAGTGGTTAAAATTTTCTTTTTATTAGCTATGTGTATTGTGTTCCAATTGAAAGTAATCTAAAATAATTTATTATGTCTAGGTGCTCTATCAATTGTTCCAACAATTCTTTTTTTGACAATAAATATATTTGAAGAAACAGCAATTAAGGAAATAAATAATGAAGAAATTTTAATGGATTTATTACCAGTTCAAGCTGCTCTGAAATGTTTTCAAAGTTTAGCTACACATAAATATGCTACAGATGATCACAGCAAATCTTTTTGGTCAAATTTACTTCAGAGTGCTCTAGGAAAACTTGTTGATTTAGCCAAAACTAGTTCAGATGTCATTAAAATTGATGAAAATGCTTTAGGACAAGCAATAACAGTTTTCATATTGTATAGCCCTTCTAATATAATCAATGCACCAAACCTATTATTCCCATGTATAAATCATTTTAGACAATGTCTTCAGAGTGATAATCTCAAGGTGAGTGACTTTCCACATAGTTTCTGATTTATATTTTACTTAACACTAAACCTGCCGACAATTTACTACCTATACAGTAGAACCTCGATTATCCGGACCTTGGTTATACGGATTTGCGATTATCCGGACTACCAACCACGACCAATTTATATGTATGAACATACCTACAATTTGAATTTTAGCATCATTAATGCTGCAATTTAGTACATGTATGTAATGTAATCGAAGAAAATATGTATGTACAAACATAGGGAAGTGTTAATTTCTTAATAAACATAGATTTTTGTTGATATCTATGTATAGAATTGTTATTTTTAATTAATACACAACATTATTTTTTATACATTCGATTATCTGGATTTTTGATTATCGCAATGCCCATCCACAACAATTAGTCCGGTTAATCGAGGTTCTACTGTACCTACCGAGCGCGTTCATCGTTAGTAAGTTTAGTGTTAACTTACTTCAGCTCTAAAATGGCATTTTTATTGATTATTCAAATTATTTGGGCTGGTGAAGTTTGTGAAGTTTTTTTTATCCTTTTTAAAAAAAAGAGTTGTCACTAAATTGGAATAAAGTCAATTATTAAGTGTTGCATTTGTACATGGATATACGAGGTGTGTTCAAAAAGTACCCGGAATTACTAATAATTAAATTTCGCGGGTCTGGAGTGTCTGATTGTCAAAATTTTTTTTTTATTGTGTTGGTATACATGCCCCTAAAGTATGATGAAATTTTCAGCTATATTCACTGTTTACTTTGTCTGTGGTAGTCGCTAAGGTTCGACGTGTTTTTCTGAGCTCGGCGATTTTTACAATGGAAGAATTGAAAAGTCAAAGAATTTGTATTAAATTTTGCGTAAAAAATGAAATAAAGTGTTGCAAAGTGCAAAAATTCACCAGATATGGCTCTGTGTGACTTTTTCCTATTCCCAAAGTTGAAGAGACCCATGAAAGGACGGCGGTTTTCCTCGATTGAAGAAAATCGCTGAGAGTGCTCAAGGACATATCAAAAAGTGAATATCAAGGGTGCTTCGAAAATTGGAAAAAACGCTGGCATAAGTGTATTATATCTGGGGGGGACTACTTTGAAGGGGACCACATTAATGTAGACGAATAAATAAATATTTTTTTGAAAAAACGAAAATTCCGGGTACTTTTTGAACAGACCTCGTATATATCATAATCATCACAAGAAATATGCCAAAAATATTTGAAGATCAATCATATTCTTTCTGAAAATATAAGAAGTGTATTTTATTGGTTCGACTAATAACTGTACATTCAATTTTTTTGAATTCATTTAAATTCTTGCCTTAACAATTATTATTTTACTAAAACTAACTTAATAATAATAAAAACATTATTTTTATGTACGTTTTACTTATTTTATACGTTTTTCTAAATTTCAGGTGAGGCTGAGATGTATTCAAACTCTAAAAATGATTTTTAGTCATCCTGACAGAAATCGTGTAATATCGTTTATTCATGCATTAGCTCCTAGATTAATGGCAAGTCTCTATGCATATTCTAATCTATCTCGTGATCCAGTCATTTGTCACGATTTCATAAAAACTGCTGATGAATTAAATGCTGTTTTAGAAAGTATTACTGTTTTGGAAACCTTGATTAATTTAGCTGAACCAGCATATCGTAAGTATATTCTAACCAAACTAACGTTTTAAAAAAAGTTAGCATAGGATAGTTATTACTGAAAATGATCAAAACAGGCATCTAATAAGTGATTTTTATTAATAACTCATAATCAATGCGTAAGTAGTAGTAGGTTTTTCATTTGATTAATGATTTTTGTATTAATATAAATATTAAGTATTGTATGATATCTATTCAAAATAATTTGTAGTAATAATTTTGCAAATTTTTGTCCATGATGCAGAAGATATTGAATATTATTGTCTGCGGCATATTAATGCTAATTATTTTTAATTATATTAAATGAAAATTTTTAGGTATACAAATATTGACATTATTGGTACCTATAATGATTAGTTATCTGTTGGAACCCTCTTCATTGAAGTTATCAAATAAAAATAGTCTACAACTGCATGAAAGTAGCTTGCAATGGCTTATGAAAATTGGTCCAAAGTATCCCCAAGAATTCAAAGCATTAATGTCAAAAAGTGCAGATATGCGTCTTCGTCTTGAAGCCGCTGTGAAAAACCAAGCACAACAATTAAAGTTGCAGGATAAAGCACAGATGAGCGATGCCAACAATCTACGCTCACAAAAATCAGTGCCGACAATCAAACTGAAAACAGATTTTAGTAATTTTTCATGAAATTCAGTTATATAATCGGTAGATAGATCTTTTATAGAATGGTTTTGATTACTTGCTAAAAGCATTTTCATATTATATTGGTATAATTAGAAGGCTTTTATCATTTGACCTGAATTTAATATGCTTATGTAAATATCTGTTATTGTTGAAATGTTAGTGTAACAGTTCATAAATCACTTGGTTCAGGATATTTAGATTATAATTTTTTTTACACAGATGTTTACAACAAGATCACAAGTTTTTATATAATAAGATTATGCAGTTATTAAATTATTGACTTCAATAGAAATCCTAATTGCTGGGTCGGAACGACTGACTGAAATATTGTTTTTTGTTTAAAATATTTTCATAAATTGTTAATTATTATCTAAATAATACACTTTTATAACATTTTAAGTTTCTTTCTCTTTTGTTATGATTTTAAAAATCATAACAAAATATATAATAATAATCATAATAAATAATATATATATATATATATATATATATATATATATATATATTTTCATAAGTTATTTAGAATCGGGCAGTAACATCAAGTAAAAAAAAACTAAAGTAGTTTTTGAAATACTTTATTTATCCATACGTTTCGGTCTTCATCGAGACCGTCATTCAGTGGAAAAACTAACAGATTTTATATGATGTAGGAGGAAAATATTATAAAGTTATAGAACTTATATATAAATACTTACAGAAATTAACTATACAAAAATACACTACACTATTACACTGTGATAAACCAAGCTATTAATAACTGGAACATTTAAACTAATTATTTTTTTGACAATTTTTGGTTACATTCTAGTGTGTACAGATTGACTAACGTCTAAATACTGAATGAATTGTGTTTAAAAATTTTGCGAAAGTGTAAAAAGACTGGCAAACATATGTTTTGACCATTTTCAAAACACCACCATATCTGAATGAAGCGTGTATTTTATTATTTTATTATTTTACTAAAAACATGTTTGCCAGTCTTTTTACACTTTCGCAAAATTTGTACATATATTATGCACACATATTACATATACATAATGTATGTACCTAAGCGTATGTGTAATTTTGAATGGATAAATAGTTTTTCAGGCATTCTTCCAGTTATTGAATAAAACACAATCGATTAATTTCAAAACTCAGTTCAGAGTAATAAATACCAAATATAATATATAACAAAAATATGGATACATAAAACATAAAATGATAAAATTTGAAGTAAACGAATTCTAAAGTGAAATTCAAAATCTACAACTAAATCATAAAAACTTACTTGTCAAGTATTGATTATTTAGGAAGAAAAAATTAAACATATAACTTAATATAAAAATAATTCAAATAAATGCAACTTAATGAAACAACAATAAACAATTACTGTGTGTAACAAACAAAAATATAAAATGTTAAACTGAAAATAAGCCAAAACATCACACGGCGGCATCCGAGTGGAAAGGGTTCAGTTTCATTAGAAACGCCAAAAAAAATTTAACATTTTGAAAAATCCCTGCTGATCTTTATCAAAAACTAATTAGCATTTTTCTTAAGTGATATATATCAAATGGGTTTTAATCATACCGAAGAAACAGCGCGGCTGATCTTTTCGCAAAACTAATCAACGCGAGTCCTTATCGAGTTTCATTAAATGACTTTTTGAATTTTTGTAACAGTGAACCCGTTCTTGAGAAAACGTCGCTGAAAGATCAAAATACCACACACACATGCACATCTTTCCCAGTTATGACCTAAAACGATTCAGAACGACTTGATAGGTCGAGAAAACAAAATTAACAAATAACATTTTTTGGCAAAAACAAACTTCAAAAAGTTAACAGTTATTAGTGTATAATATATGTATAGATAATTACTAGAATATAATAAATTAATTAATCATTATTAGAATTATGTATATGTATATTATACATTCTGTTTCTATAGGAATTTTCAAGAAACTTTACCGGAGAAGCCATTGCTCCAAAGCGAATTTCGATTTATCGAATTTTTCAGATGAGTTTTTGTTTCTATTTATTTCTATATAAACACGTAAAAATACAAAAAACAAATAATTTAGTTAATAGACTAATAGATGGTAATTGTTAATAGACAGTAACAGATGAATGAAAAACTCAAAGTAAATAGTTAAGATTAGATATATGATGGATATATCTCTTAAAAGAACAGAAGTGTACACAATTAATGAAAGCTGAATTAGCAAAAGATACTGCTCATTTTATAAATCATCTATGTAATGTTCGTTTGTTTGAACCGCATTTTTACAATTCTTACTTTCAACAAAATAAAATTAAAAGAATAAAAATAAAATGTTCTAAGATTTTATATTATAACGCATAAATGATGTATACTCTTCAAAATGTTATTTCATTTTATTTATTGATTATTTTGATAGTACTTATGTGCAAGGTACAGATCATGGAAATACAATGATAATCATATTAAACATTTTCGCCACGCATAAAGCAATTGATAAGTTTAAAATTGATAAATTGATAACGCGCGATAATTTGATATTATCGAACAACTTCGAAATGAAGAATAACTTAACAAATAATTTCAAATATGCATACATACACAACGTAATGAAATAGACAAGAAAAAAGACAGACTTTCAGGCAAAACTATTCGGTCGGATTTTGCGTTAAAACCTGTACAGGCGTGAATGTTCACGACAGTTCTGATGTTCTGATTAATAGCGCTTAGCTGCGTTATAATATACCGGATGCTTATCTTCCTTACATTTTGTACAAACATATTTTCGTTATTTGTGACGTCCGAAATGTGAGTGTGCTTTCATAACCTTTTTCACATTTACAGAAAATTCAATAATAGCTATTCAAGTAATATTAAGTAGATCTAACGTCCAGGTTTGTCCAGACTGCCAAATGAGTAATTGAATAGTAGTTGCAAGCCAAATTATTATCTAAGAATTAAATTATTTTGTCGTCTCAATCATAATACTCACGATGAAATATCAAAATAATGAATCCATACATATACTACTCTTCTTTTATCTTTGAATCCATATATTAACACCTTTTGAATGAAAAGTAACTACACTTTTTGACATTTTGAAATTGCCGGTTTCGCCACTGATCTGTGGTCACCCTGGTACGATACGAAGCGTAGTTCACATATGTTTTTCAATCGAAATGTTCTTGTAGTGCACGTTTGATCTTGGTTGAGAAACACGCATATAGGAGAGTTTATACTAGGCCTAGGTTAAACCAACTAAGCGCAGATAAGTGATAAGAGCTTTCAAGAATAGTGCGTATTTATGCTCGGAAGTCATATTATTACATTTATTAATGTGTACCATAAAATTAATATTCGAATAGAGTATTGCCATCTCAATTTAGGTTATCGAAATAGAAATATGTAGTTTAAAATCTTATAAAACATGTTTTATTTATAAAATAGCACCATAGTTTATCTTAAATAGTATACTGTTGAATCTGAACAACACATATGCAGCATGTAATGCTTTAATTGGTAGTATTTTAGATACCTACTAAAATAGATTGAGTTTTTTGTACGTAGATGTGATAAAGAAGCTGTCATGTTAATGCAAGTCAGTAATAAATGTTGAGGTTTTATTTAAACGCTTCATGACAATTAACACGGATATAAAATTAATTTAAATAATGTGAATTAATATTTAATTGTAAACCTGTGTTCCAAATTTTGAAAATTTTTAGTTCTTATTCTTCCGATATTGTGATCGTGACTTGAGTATTGTCAAGTGAATTTGAATCCTGTGTTATATCCTAGAAATTTTATAGTGAATAACTAGTACAGTGCACCTGAAAAAACTGTTATTTGTGTAATATCCGAGTGAGATTAGTGGAAATGCTCCAGTTGTAACATTTCATTGATATTTACTCGACAATGTCTCAATCAAAACATGATACTGCGATTCACTTGGTCGCAGGGGGGTAAGTCGATTCGTTCTATATTTAATATTGTATTTATAAAAATTAATCAATGATTTTGTAACAGTTTGTGACCTGTTTAATTAAAATTTTGGTATAAACTCGCACGGCGTAGCCTACATTCGCGTGTACTATGTACATTATGTAAATGCTTATGTAAATGCACATATTTGTTTACAAAATAAATATATTTTAAGAATAAGATAAGAAAATATATTCTAATAACGAATATAATATCACTAAAATTGCTTTAAAAAATAAAAATCTTACGAAGTGTGTCAAGATTTGTATTTTGCTGCGATGAAAACAATTCTGATTCAAATTGCGTAGTGAGATTATTGGTTAAATAATCTCCAGTCGTAAATTCTTATCATGTATAGGAATAGATATGTACAAACACACACACACACACACATATATATATATATATATATATATATATATATCATAAATAAAATATTGAAATATTTCTAAAAATATTTATAAATAAAATATTAAAAAAAATCGGTGCCATGCACTACTTGTCTAACTTTTTTTTTCTGGATTTCTGAATCGCAATGCAAGTCGATGCAAGTGAAATGTTGTTTGAATCATTCAAATCGGTTGTTCCTTTCTCTCAAACTGAATTGCCATTTTTGGCACTTTTAACTCCCGTAGGGTAAGTTATAGTAATCGCAAAAAAATCGAAAATGAAATTTTTTATATATCTTTACGTTTCAGAGGTTTCTGAACATTTTGGCATACATTAGAAAAAATGGATGTATGTGTGTGTGTGCGGATACAAATTTTCGTCGACGATTTCGGGAACACGGTTCAACCGATTTTAGGTATTCAAAAAACATTCGATTCCTATTAAAAAGGAGACGTGCTGATTAGTTTTTGGCATAGGCAGATCTAGCCGTTTCGAAGATACGGGACAAAAAGTGCCAAAAACGGTAACTCAGTTTTTAAGAGAACAGAGCGTATGATTTTAATAATTCAAAAAACATTTTACTTGTATTGATAAGATGAACAACTGATTAAATTTTTATGAAGGCAGTTCTAGCGGTTTCGGAGACCTAGTGGAAATAACAAAAAAAATGCCATTTGGCGGTCAAAAATGATCATTTATCAGATATTTCATAGAGATTTCAACAATAGGTAAAATTTTGTTTACATTCCTATGAGTTCCGTACCAATGTTTATCCTTTAGACGACTTAGTAGGGAAGTACCAGCAATTTGCCTTAAGGCACGATGCCATGCGCCCCACTAGCCCTTACCTTCGAAACGGCTGGACCTGCCTTTGCCGAATACTAATCAGCACGTCTTCTTGTCAATGTGAATAGAATGTGTTTTCAACCATTCAAATCAGTTGATTCGTGCTCCCAAAAATGTCGACTTGTGTTCACACATACATGCACACACACATATCCATTTTTTTCTAAGGATATATTAAAATGTTCAGAAACTTTGAAACGTAAAGGTATACAAAAAATGTCCTTTTCGATTACTATAACTTTTACACTACTGGAAGTTAATAAAAAACGAAAAAAAATACTGGAAAAATAATAAATGAGCGTTAATACTTAGTTACTTCATTTCAGTAAATGCATGACGATAATACACAACCCTTAGTCGAACCCTTAATTTGTTTTTGATAATAATATTTGGATACTATTGTAATTCGAAGATTCAAAATCAGCTTTACCAAAGCGATTTTGGTACTCTCTTCAAACTTGTGTAATATTTAATTTTTATCTTTATCAATTTTTCATATACATCTTCCAAAATTAATTGTTTTTTGTTATTGAATAAGTTAGTCATATTCAAAACAATACATCCTTACCGTTGTTTTAACTGTTCAAATTCAATTAATCTAATTCAAAACATTTTTTTCTACATATACATTTTTTTACACAATGTTAAATAGAAGCTAACTATTTTTATAATTAGAAAATGGATATTGCAACATTTTTCTAGAAGGCAACGTGTTTAGAATTTGTGATTTTTTTTATAGTCATTTGATTAGAACAGAACTAAGAGTCCTATAAGATGTTCAACCCAAACAGTTGTTGTCTCATCTATATAATGATTTTTATTCTTACGCTTATTGTAATAGTGATGAATTTTTATTGGTGCAGCGATGCAGTCTTAGGGGATATTTTTACTTCGACACATACTGCTATCTATATCACCGAGTGAAAGCCGTTGTCACTACTGCTTGACAACAGGCTGCTCAAAGCGGAATCGAACCCGGGACCCCTGATCCAAGTTCAGTTGTTCTAGCCGTTACCTTCGAGCCACCCTGTGAAAACCTTTTGAACACTTTATTTTCCGCATTCTTGTCGAATGCAAATAATTACGTCATAAAGCATCATGCTGGCTTTTTGGTTAGCGGAACCGTTTATTTCAAGCGTCTTTCAGAACGCTCTTTTTTGAAAAAATTTCCGGCGAAGATTAATTAATTAAATTTACTGAAGTTTCGGTAACTCTTAACTGCAGATCTTTATCATATTTAGTAATATCTCTGGTTTCAAATGATTGACTGATTTTGTTATGCTTCCAGAGAGCCTAAAATTTCATATTGCCTTCAGATATGTTACTAATTAATTAGTTAATTAGTCAATTTACCGTTATGATAATTATCCACTTAAATTTAACTACTGAAAATGTATATTGATTCAATAAATTATACTAACCCTTATCAGTCGAAAGTCAGCCATGACGTGACTACAATACTTTGTCGCGCGTCACCTGGGAGGTGACAACGATCAAACCAATTAAAAAAAAATGACAGCGCCAAAATTGGTTTGCTAAATTTCATTCCTGGTATTTTGATGTCCAAGGTGCACCAAGTCCAAGAAGTACGGTTGAAGCTGATGAAGACGCGAGAAAGGCATTACTTGATGCAAACCGGTAAATAATAATACATGAGATACCATTGAGTTAAAAATTATCAAATTTAATAGTTTATGACCGTTCAAAAGTTCTGGGATTTTCCTCTATGGTTCTCATAGAGAGAAACGTGTTTCTTCGCACTGGCGTCTGCGATTCGCCTCTGAAAAGTCCTGAAAATGATTAGGTTTTGAAGCGAATTGTTACTACGGATATCAAATCTTATGTAAAAAATACAATACACGCAATTGCCCATGAAACATAAAAGAAGAACCTGCTCAAAACAGGTGCAAAGCTCAAATTTGCCAGAAAAGGGTGATGTAGTAGGTTTTGTAAGATTTTAAAGGAGTTGTTCATTTTTTCAGCATTTCCAGGATAACATTTCGGTTAATTCGGATGCTTTATGTCATCAGCTGGATAAACTAAATGATGTACCTCAATAGAAAAAATCAAAATTATCCCACAAGCAAGGTATAGTACTGCATAAGGACGACGCAAGACCTCACTGAAGTTTGGTCAATCGCCAAAAGCTTTTGTAGCTTGAATGGGGTTCAGTGACACATTCATCATATTGTCCAGACTTGCCATCATCGGACATTATTTGTTCCGGTCACTAAAAAAATTTTTAGGCGGTAAAACCTTTACCGCAAATCAGCGTGTCAAAAAGCACTTTGATCAGTTCTTTGCCAATAACGACCAAAAAATTTATGATCTCGGAATTATGCTAATACCAGAAATATGACAAAAGATGTTCGATCAAAACTGCCAATACATAATTTATTAAAGTATTTGTTTTTTGTAGAAAATTACGTGCCAAAATCTCTATAAAAACGAAGTTACTTTTCGAATAACACAATAGTAAAAAAAATAGTTAATGTATGTAAAGAAGTATCTAATACATTTTTTTAAAAAAAGAGATTTTGCATACTTACCTATAATTTGGTTTATTCTGATTCGAATCATAAATAGGATTAGTCGTCTAATTTCGAACAGAAAACGAAGGCTTGATGCAATTTTATTCAATTTGAAAAATTAGATTTCTTGATTGGGTAGGTGCGCTGCTCGAATGAGGGGATCTGAATCAGAGATCCCAAGTTTGATATCACAAATCACACAGAGATGAGACAATTGTTCAGGTTGCAATCTGTAAATCCGGAGCAATATAAGTCAAATCAGCACAACGGCTTATAGGACTCTTAAAATCAAGGAATAAAAAAAAACTTTATTTTTTCATTTAACATTTAAATGCATACACAAGCTAATTTGAAACTAATGACTGGGGAATTCGGCGTTCTGTTTAACAGTGTTTATTTTTTATTTTTGTTTTTATTGTCGTCTTACCTAAATATATACTTGAGTGCCGTATAATTGGTTATAGTACGGTTAAAAATGTTTCTAATAATTTATTAGGGTCATTCTTTTACAAATCGTACGGATTTTCGAAAAAATAAAATGTCACATTTTAGAATTGTCTGAATTTTTTTTTACAGATATTATACATAAAATCATTTGACACGTATTTCAGGATTTTGATGAAAAAAATTTTTTTACGTAAATATTTACGATTGAAATATGGATTTTTTGCTCAATTCTATGAACATCATCTGCGGTAAATTAATTATCTCCAGTTGTGCTGATCGGATCAGTATTATTTTTTTTATTACACTCATATTGAACTTGTAATGATTAAAATTTTTTTTTGTTTTTGCAATTTTCTTAAAAATAACAACCCTTAAGTATTTACAAAAGTTTTACTCAGCCTTACCCCAACTTGAATCGATCCAAAAAAACATATTTTTTCTTTTTTTCTCTGCAACAAAATTCTTTTTACAATTTGTTGGAGGCTTTGTTACATCGAAAGATATTAAATCGGGGACCTCAAAGACTTGTACTCATTTGTCACTTTCGAATGACAATCGTATTGTTTTTCGGTTGAAAAATATTTTATAATTTCGCTTCTGGCGAAAAATGAATATATAGTAAAAAAAAATTAGGGGAGAGCGGAGCTTAAAAGTTCGTGGGTAAAAAAATCCACTGCCAATATCTCAAAAACAAGTAAAGTTAGAAATTTTTCAACAACAATATTTGCCAACCATTTACGTAAAAAATTTTTTTCAGCAAAATCTTG